ATTTTTTATTGTTTTTAAGGTCATCAACTTCCGAGCCCTACGAGTAATATCTAATAAGTTWTTAGTAATAACAAAATAAATCACTTTAATCACAATAATATCATAAAATATACTTAGGATTATTATAGGCTAAACGTCTTTGCTCAGGATAATTTTCTGCCTGCAATGTTTCTATAACAATTGAATTCGAATTTAACACATCCATTACCGAGTGACTTCGCCAGATGTAGGTTCAACAAATAAGCGTTACCCACTTTCCACCTTTTTATTTATGACGTCAYATATTTGTATTTCTAGTGTATATTTTTTATGATATACCTTGGTATTTTGGTATAAGGGGACCACCCACCAATAAAAAATCCAAAAGTATACCCTTGCCACGCTATCGCCACTGCTTAACGATATATTATTATTATTACTATGGACGCGGTTCAATGACCTGTTTGTGTTGTCTCGTGAGTTACGAAAATCATATTAAACGAGAGAATAATATATTTTAAAAATAAACGTTCCCGGCCTGAGATAATAGATGTGTTACGGAACACTACGACTAATTGATTAATTGGAACAGTGCCTTACAACGTTTAAAATTCTTGTTTTTGTAGGTGGTGGGCACGAGGACGTGTGATGCCCGCATCCGCATGTTTWGTCTGTGTCATACAAACGAACAACATACCTTATAAATCTGTATTGTGTAATGCTGACATCATAACCAATTTTTTTTGTTATTTATTTTAGTATTATAATAATATAAATAATTATTAATTGACCAATTATCAAAACTTTAAATTTAGAACGTTATCACTGATACTTAGTGTTAGAAACATGCGTTTTTTTTTCGAAATTCCATAATATCATGGATCTATATAGTCGTAAACAGTGGCGGGTTTTTGAATTTTTTCTGGGTGGGGGGGGGGTCCTTTAACATTATCTCATAATATATAAGACAAAAAAGGTTAACCCTTTAATTCTTGCATAAAAAAAAACATAGCATTTAAGATATATTAGATATAAGCGTACCTATATCCGCATACAAATCGTAATAGCTATAAAAAAAAATGACTGTCAAACCCCAAGCGCCCTGAGCGAATAATGAATCACAGCCTTAACTCGAGATCTGGGGGGGGGGTCCAGGTCCCCTCAAACCGCCACTGGTCGTAAATGCAACTTAATGGCATTAAGCAGCAAATTCGAATAATTTATTTGCATTTACTGACGTCATTATATTAGCCTTAATATGGTCAAGCTTTATGACTCGGTCATTACAGGTTACAGTCGACTCCGGTTTATTGGTACACGTCGTTGTTGAGTGTTTTTTTTTTTATCCAATTAAGCGGTTGGTAAAAAAAAACATAAATTTTTGTTAGTGGTTTGTTATTGATTTAATAGTGCATATATTATAGGAGAATGTTTTAAATTTTTTATGACATAATTAATTTTTTATCTATTACCGTACTATATAATAATATAATATCTAATACAAAATTTATTTTTGAAGCAAACATGCACCCCTTTCCCATCACCCTTGAAAGAATCTGCCTTTCAGCATATACTAAGATTTTTTTTTTAAATTTTTAAAAACAAAAAAGTGATTAATGGAACTTTGCTTTTTACTTTTTACTGATTGTTGCAACGAATGTAGTCTGAACAGATTACATCCAAAGCATTTAAGCGGATATATATATATATATAGCTAGGTGGATATTTGATTGAATTTTATGAGGGGCTTAAGTGGAGGCTTTGAAAAATGTTCAATAATTTTGAGGAGTTTTCAATATTTGTTGGGAGACTAAGTCCATC